GAGAGAGAATTTTTATTAATATTTATTTTTTAGTTTTCAGCAGACACAACATCTTTGTTTGTATGTGGTGCTGAGGATCGAACCCGGGACTCACGCATGCCAGGTGAGCGCGCTACCATTTGAGCCACATCCCCAACCCCAGAATATATATTCTTTGCAACTGAAAACAGATGAATTACCTAGACAGAAAATTCTGAATCATAACTATTATAAGTTTATAAGGATTTGAGTCACACAGAGTATATTCCTTGACTACAATAGACTCAATTTTAAAAACAATAATAGAAATAGCTCTGGAAAATTCATGAACATTTGAAAACTAAATAATAAATTTCTAAATAACCTATGAGTGAAAGATGAATTCAAAGGAGAAAACAGAAAGTACTTCAACCAAATTTAGAATAAAACCATGATTGGACCCAGTTATCCCACTCCTCTGTATATACCCAAAGGATATGAAAAACAGCATACTACAGTGATATAGCCACCTCAATGTTTACAGCAGCTCAATTCACAATAGTGAAGCTATGGAACTAACCCAGGTGCCCTTCAACAGATGAACAGATAAAGAAAAGGTGGTATATACACACATGGAATATTACTCACCACAAAGAAGAATGAAATTATGGCATTTGCCAGGTAAATGGATTGAGCTAGAGACTTATCATTGCTAAGTGAAATAAATGAATCCCCAAAAATCAAAGGCCGAATGTTCTCTCTGATAAGCTAACACACAATAAGGGGTGGGGGAATAGAAAGTCATTGGATTAGACAAAGGGGAATGAAGGCAAGGCAAGGAGGGTAGAAAGACAGAAGACATTCCTTTTCTATGTTCATATATGAATACACAACCAGTGTAACTCAACATCATACACAACTATAAGAATGGGAAGTTATAATCCATGTATGTATAATATGTCAAAATATATTCTACTGTTAAGTAAAACTAAAAAGAACAAATAAAAAATTTTAAGAAAAGGAAGTAATTCAATAAATGAAAATAAGTATACAACTTATCAGAATTTGTGTAATATGATAAACTGATACTTAAGGGGAAATGTATATCACTAAACACCTGTATTAGAAAGGACAAGAGGCAACCAGGGTACACATCTGTATTCCAAGCTACTTAGGATGCTATTGTAGGAAAATCACAAGTTCAAAGCTTGCCTGGGCAGGGGATATAGTTCATTGGTAGAGTGCTTGCCAGACATGTGTGTGGCCCTGAGTTCAGAAATCAGTATTGCAAAGCAAAAACACTAACAAGAAATAAGCAAACAAACAAAATCCCTTGGACTTTTAGAGAATGAGCACATTTAGGTGCTGGAAATAAAAGCCAGAGAAAGTGTAAACAGAGTTAATAGTGCAGTTAAGAGCACAGTCTGGAGGACCTGACTGCCTGGATCTTAGTAAAAGCTAAAGTAGATTACTTGCTGTTTGACTTTGTCCAAGTTACTTCACCTTCTTAACTTTGTTTATAAAATGAAGATAATTAATGATAGCTCATATCTATCTTATTATCTTGTCTATGTAACATATGTTAATATACCAGTCCTTGAAACAATCCAACCTCCAAAGATCCCATCTCACTCTATACAGATGAGAAAACCAAGCTTTAGAGAAGTTAAACAACTTCCTCATGGTCACACAGTGAGTAAGTGGACAAGTGGATAACAACAGTAATATGTGGTGGTGGTGGAGATGATGATGATGGTAATAGTAGCAATTTTACATAGTTGTTTGCCTTAAATGAGTCATTTTACATACATACATTTAGAATAATGCCTACAACATGGTTAAGTGATCAATGAATATCATTTGTTGTTATTACCATTAGTTCTACCCTGTAAACAAGGGAAACCTAATACTGTTGGTACCATAAGATTTTTTATGAAAAAAGGAAAGCAATAGCCAGCTCAAAGTAGAGAACTTAAAGGAAGTCACGGGGTCTGGAAAGGAGGAGAGATCTTATTGAGTGGCTTTGCCAGAGTGGTGAGGGCGAAAGCCAGATGAAGGTGGTAATAGACTAAGTGGGAGGTCAAAATGGAGAAAGAAAAAAGAGGTTACTCCCGAAGGGGACATGGGCTGGTAAGAGAGACAGGACCAGGTTTGAGTTAATAACTATATGAAGGGATTTTGTTTTAGAATGGGCTGACAGATATCTCTGTAGCTTCAGTAGAAAAGATACAGTGGAATACCAAGAGAAGATAATTAATTACTGGAACAAGGTCTCATAACAGGTCTGAAGTGATGAGATGACAGGTAAAAGTAGAATGACCCCATGCATGCCAGATAGTCTTACTTTTAACAGATAAAAGGGAACAAAGAGAAAATAAATGCAAAACCCCCAGAAACAGTACAGGGCAACGACAGAGTTGGGCTTTCTGTGAGTATATTTAAGCTAATGAAAACCAATTTTCATGCAATATTTGCCCTGATAGTTTGAAGTCCCTTATGTTCTTGAAAGAGAGGTGATACAATTTATACCAATTATGCATAATTAGTCTGAGCAATAAAATGAAGGCATAATCTAGAATTTGAGGAATTAAGATAGACTTGATGAAATTTGTACCATTTTAGAAAAATATGTAACCCTGACACTGTTAATCTGCTAATAATTAGGACAGAGGAGGTGAGAAACTGTTTTTGAAATAACAATCAAAAGGCCAATTCCAATATTTTAACTATAATTAGAACATTTTTGAAAATTGTTATATATATAAACTAGTTCAAAAGGCCTGATTCAAATATTTTTGGCTTTTGTATTTATTCTTTGCTAACCACATTCTAAAAATACAAACTAAATTTTGAAAATCAAAGACTGTTCTATATGTTCAAATCATACAATATCAAATCCTTAGCTTTAAATAACTTACTACCTAAAGTAATGAAGGGAAGGTAAAATTTCCACGATGGACTCTCCCATGTTAAAGAAGAAAGGTTTCAAGCTTAACTGGGATACCTAGAGCACAGAGAAATGAATCCTAAGAAAACCTAGCTTACCTAATATCTAATGAACTGAGGACACACCAGTTATAGACATTACATGCCCATGACAACTTACCTCTCAAGATGAACATAATGTCGAGAAAGAACGTTTTTAACCAAAAACATTGTCTTTGCACTACACTCCGGACCCATCAATTTGGAAAAATATAACTTTGCACGAAGAAAATATCCAACAGGCCATAGCCATTCCTGAAAAAAAAAAGATAATTTAAAAGTAAAGGAAAGAAAAAGAACTGTGAATATCTAAAACTATTTGAAAAATAACTGAAAACTCAGAGAAAAATGAAATTCTTACAGGTCCTTGGTGATAATTGAAACCTCTAGCAAGATTGTAGTTGTCATTGTCTAAGGCATTGTCATATATTCCACAGTAAACCATATCACTGCAAAATGATTGGAACTTAAGTTAAATAAAAGAAGCTCAGATATCATAGAAAGCATTAAAAACATTTCAATAGCAATGTTAAGAGWARTAATCATGTWATCTTCCARTTCATAGAATAAGCTCAGCATTAAAACATAATTTAACCTYAAATAAGWATATAATGAGTCCAGAGGACTTTAGCRATGTGTTCAGRAATRATTAACAAATACTGACTAATATRAAAAATATTAAATATTCAGGTATCTTGCCTTCCAGGAGTTAGCTTGACACTAACCATTGGCTTAAAGTCAAGTATTTCAAAAGGTCTCTAATATATGAATAATAATTGAAATGGCCATATAATAAATTGAATTACTAAGTATTATAGATAAGGTTTTACTGGTTATAGATTATAAAGGTTGTTTTTGAAACTTCTCCATGAAGTTATTTTAAAATCATATTTGGCATATCATCAGACTACAAATAGCAATTCAACATACATTCTGATAGTATGTAGAATTTATAACATATTTATACAGCAAACAATATTACAAAATTATTGCAACAGATAATACAAGGGCTATGTATACTTGATTTAATTTAAATACAAAGGTTTTTTTTTTAAGTAAGATAGATGTGGCCATAAAAATAAACTTTGTGTTTTAGTTTTGATCAGTGCTTCTTAACTACTCTGAAAATATGAGAGTCTCAGAATGTAGTTAAGAAAAAACATATAAAATTTTGCATCTCGTGATGGAAATGAGTACATAGTAAAGTAGGAAAGTTCTACAAAGGTGAGGTTCTGCCATCAATTCATACAGAAAGCAAGTTGATAACAACTATTAAGTTTTAAAGAAAAATCATAAAGGAAAAAGAGCAGGGTTATTAGAAACTCAAGGAAAAAAAACAAAGTTGGAAATGACAAGAAACACATGATAGCATAAACCCACAACTGTAAAATAAAAATGAAATCATTTATGGTTATAAGTAAAAAGAGTAGTATAATTACAAAGAAAGGATGGAGAAGACTAATATTGAGAACAGAATTAAGTACTCACCTGTCATCACTATATGTGAATAATAGCTCATACTTAAAATATCATAAAACAGCAGCATATACTTTTTTTTTAGAAATGTAGAAATAGCTATTAGTAGAAACAATATAAAAAATAATGACCACCTTTCAGGAATAGAATTGAGGTGAAGAAAGGAAGCAAGGGAATGAATTTTTTTTTTCTTTTTGTGGTGCTGGGGATTGATCCCGTGTAATGTTTTGCATAAATTCTCTTAGGTATATGCCCATATGGTCCAAATTGTACAAAAATGCACAGATAGATCAGATGATAATGATGCTTAYTTCTAGATAAAGGGGTTTAAAGTAATTTCATGTTTTTCTTTATATATCTGTAACTTCTAATGTTTATAATAATCATTTACCACCTTTATGATAAGAAAAATGCACATCAGAAAATACTCATGGCATTAGTTTAAAAACTAAAACTCTAATTGATTATTGAATACAGAATAAGACAGAGGCATTCTGAATATTGATGCTTAATGAAAGTACAGATGATGCTTTTAAAAACTCAGTCTGAATGAAATTTTGGAGATGTTATCGATAAGAAAAATTAATAGCTGGTGTTAATATATTTGGATTAAATAYAATACTAACAACATTCTTAATATTAGATTCCCACTTACTCTGGATCTAAAGTTTTCATGCCAAGGGGACCAAGTAATTTTTTTTCTGCGATCTCCAATGCTCTCCATGCTTTTTCTGTAGTAAACAACTCAGGGGCCTAATGAATGTCAAAAACAAACATACAACTTTTTCACATCACAGAAGAATTACTTTCCACCTACATATACAAATCATCATCTTGAAAAAGAATGAATATATTTAAAAATACAGTGTGGGCAGAATTTAAGAGTAGATGCCTAACCAGATTTATTTCCATGAGGCTAACTTGGAAGCATTGTTCTAGGCCTTAGAAGTTAGGAAAATGTGTGGGTATTCTTCAAAAATGTACTAGATCAAYAGGAAGTTGCCATAGTTATTAGGAATATAGAACTCACTTCAACTCACGTAATTGATTCTTTATAATATTTACAAGAGTTTCCTTTAAGGTATATCTGAACCCACTTTCTGCTTCTAGGATCATAATAAAATGTAGAACAGTGTAAAGTTACTTGTGATACAGAGAAGAAGGAGAGGAGGATCTGCATTAATTTTGGTGGTTGACCTACAGTTAATGTTAATGATTAATAAAATCAAATGCACATTGAACCAAAGCTTTCTTGTGTTCCTGGGTGTTTTTCATTCTACTGTAATTTATAATACCATATTTAGTTATGTTTTTGACAAAATGGAAACAGGTAGGCAGGCATGGACAAAAACAAACCACTATTTTATTGCCCTCATAGTTTAGGCAGAATTTAAAAAGGAGAGACTCTAGAATCCTTGGCTATACATAATTTATTAATTAAGCTATTTCTGGTAATTCACTACTCCAGAACTTCCCATCTAGCATGCTGAGGCACTGGTTGTGGCACAGATGACTGGAAATACAGACATTTTTAGCTTTCAGGACAAGTGGGTGGGTGAGGGGCTCATTGAAGCAGCTGGATTTGGCATAAACAGCAAAATCCAAGCACAGTGTCTTGCACAAATAGCAATTTCTAAATGTGTTCAGGATGTGAAAAATACATCAAGAAAACACTTCATTGATCATCTTCCATTGTTTTCTATTTTTTGATACTGATTGGTAAATGTTAAAGGTGATAAGCAGACCTTTTTAATTATAAAAGACTATATAAAACTAGTAAGCAATATCCTTTTCTGCAGTTCAATGAAAACAGTAAAAAATAAAAAATAAATTAAGTAAATTCTATTACAATTTGGACAGTAACAAACACTTCACTTACCACAACCATTGCTATGGTAAAATTAGGCCTGAGCTGGTAGTCACACCAAGGACTTGAAGCTCCATAACTGTCTTTGTATATGCCACGTTTGTGAACTAGATTTGGATGCTTCTCATTAGAATCAGAAGGATCTTCTGAAACATGAAACAGTTTTTCAAAGTTGTCTTGTATTTTTCTGTTCCATTCTTCATATG